TGGTGGGCCTATAAAATATAGTTACTATAAAAAAATGGTTGAATAAAAGATTGTGTATTATTATTGGGAATCTCCTGAAGAGAAACACCGCTTTCCGGACGAAAAATATTGATTTTCAAGAATTCTATACCATTTTTGATTTTCTCCCATATAAAATACATGGAAAACCTTGAAAAATTTTATGGGGTGGGAGCATACCGACTTTACTTTTTTTTACATGCATTTTTGGACCACCCTAATGTAAAGATATACATATGTAGCATGTATGTATCTCAATTCTTGATAATAACAAAACTTTGTGTAGTGTTACAAAGTATGCAAAATTGATTTTTATGTTTAAAAATCTATTAGTAAGAGTTGAGCCACTTAAAGATTACGTGTTTGTATATACATACGTATGTATGTACAAAAGTACGCACATACATAATGTCTGCAGTATGTAGGATACACCGCAAGTGTTGTTCCATGCAAATGTTTACAGTATCCATTACCATCCATTGCCGCCTTACAGCTGTGCAAGATCAAAAACACAAATTCGGCAACAATGTTGCAATTACTGCTAAAAACAGGGCAGAAAATAAACAAAAATTAAACGACAACTTTATTTCTAATGAAAATACGAGCGATTTAAGTAAATAAACTTTAGGTTGAGATGCCCAGATTTAGAAGCGGAGAATTCGTGTGGGCCGATTGAACGTGACGTACTTACTTATGCGAACATTGCAGGGCTATATATACATATGTATATATATGGATGCGAAATCAACTGTACAACATACTTTGTATTGTCTACAACGCGGCTTGAGAAAAGCGATTTTGATTGCTGCTACAAGCAAGAAATGTAATGAAGAGAAGCGGTCTAGTACAATTTAAGTTTTTATTTTGCCTAATCAAAACTGTTCGTTAAAAATATGCTAAATAATTCAAATGGCAAATCCTCGTCTCAAGATAGAAGTTCTTAGCTTTTTTTGTATTAGAATAGCGTATGGCCCCCAGGTAGTGGATGAGAAAAAAATTACGCCCATCGGCATGAACTATAAGCAACAGTTAGGTTAGGTCGTTGTTGTAATAACCTAAGACTCGCAGAGCCACTGTGATGCCCAGAAGAGGATTTTTGTCAAAACATGCCATTGCAAGTCTTTAAATCATTCCGACTTACTAAAATACCCATTAAGGTCGTTGCCATTTAGGCCTTTTCCGAACGACCAGTTTGGCTATTTTTCTTTTGTCTATTTAATGTTTTTTTTGTTTTTATACCCGAACTTAGACTTTCTTACTTGTTTTTTTAATAAAATAACCAGCACCACATAAATTCACATTTCAAACTATAACAGTTACACCCAAATATTTTAAACTTTTAGAATTTTTAGAAAAATTTTAGGTATGCAGTTTTATAGCCCATTAAATTTTAGTGGGTTAAAGTGAAAATTTCAAGACGCTAGGAAATCGCGTTGATTTAATTTTGTTTTTTGTTTTTGGCTAACGGTGTTGTGCATTTTCTTCCATATAAAGTATGCTCGAGACTGAGAACCTCATCAAACTCCATATGCCTCGTTTCGATCTATTATAGTTTACTCATTTCGGACTCATTGAGGATCACAAAGATTATTTACCCTCAACTATTTTTACAGATTTCTTTTAACCACGTGAATGTTATTTTTTTTGCTTACAATATATAACTTCCTTTTTCCAATTACCACTCTTTCCAGCCTTTCCAGACGCCCACG